CTAGGGCTGGTTGCCACCATGATCACTATTGCAATCTTCAAGTGAGTTTTGAGCATGCTCAAAGTACCACTTTGGTCTGAAAATGTTTCATTGTACTTTAGTCCCTGCTTTTACCTGTTACCAGCAATGAATAAATAGATATAGGTTGAGACAAACAGATGGACGGACGGACGGCTGGATGGACGGATGCACGCACACATGCACGCACACATGCAAACACGAATGAACACATGCACACGCGGACGGGCGGGTAGACAGGCAGAGCTGATAAATCCTTCGTATGTTTTTACGCACATGTACGCGTGTTCGTTGGTGTATGTGTGTTTGTTTGTTTGTATGTGTGTTTGTTTGTGTATGTTTGTGTTTATTAACACACTGACATGCTTGTGCCTATGCTGCGCTGACTTCTGCCCAGGAAACTACGCGCCAGTCTGCATCAACGCTTGATGTTTGGTCTGTGTACAACACTCCTCACCATCATGATCCTCTTCATCGCTGGCATACGTGCTACGTCTAACAGGGCTGCATGCCAGTCCGTGGCCATCATCATGCACTACCTTCTCCTGTCTGCGTTCCTGTGGATGTCGGCCGAGGCCACGCTTCTCTACACACAACTGGTGAAAGTGTTTGGTGGCACTCCGACCTGGTTTGCCAAAGCTGTGCTGGCTATCGTGTATGGTGAGTCCAATACTCAGTCCATTCATTGCTACTGTGTATGGCGAGTCTATGCAATGCTAGAGTATTTTTTTTCTTTTTTTTCTACAAAATCCACATATCTCCAGACACTGGGGTGAATGATGGAGTGTGGTGGTGGGGCCCATTAAGCTCCATGCACTCGTATGTCCAGCACTCGCATAGTGCCCACGTATATCCAGCACTCGCATAGTGCCCACGTATGTCCAGCACTCGCATAGTGCCCACGTATGTCCAGCACTCGCACAGTGCCCACGTATGTCCAGCACTCGCATAGTCTACACGTATGTCCAGCACTCGCATAGTGCTCACGTATGTCCAGCACTCGCATAGTCTTCACGCATGTCCAGCACCCGCCAGGTTTGAATCCTGTACATGCATCGTTCTTTGACAACAGAATGTGTATGTGTGTGTTGTGTGGTGTTGTCATGGTAACAGTTGTACCACTGGTCATAGTGGGTATAACGGCTGGAGTGACTAAACTTGACGCCTACACCAATGAGAACTAGTAAGTACAACTTTGATATACTAATGTACACACCGTCGTCATGTGTCGGGGATTCAGACTAAGCCAGCATGCATGCATGATACAGGGATTCAGACTAAGCCAGCATGCATGCATGATACAGGGATTCAGACTAAGCCAGCATGCATGCATGATACAGGGATTCAGACTAAGGCAGCATGCATGCATGATACAGGTCTACCATGGTTTGTAGATAACCGCTGGGGGGGGGGGGGGGGGGTCAAATTGCTTGTCTTATAACTAACCAGGCGTGAATGTATGCGTTTCAGGTGTCGGGGGATTTTTGATCGTTGTCTACTAATGACATTTGTCGTGTAACTGATGTCTTACTAATGAGGGTAGACTAGACCTGTACGTGAACAAATGAAATGCGTATATGAAATGTTATGCACAGACTGTACTTTGTACGTGGTTAAGGATAATGGGTCATACCTATCAGGGCATCATGTAATCATCTCTACATCGTGTTGATTTTTCCTTTGGGATAAATCCAGTGAAACCTGGCTAAGACGACCGCTCAAGGGGCCTTCAAAAGGTGGTCTCTGTTACCAGGTGGTCTCCTCGTCCAGGGTCATTTGACTTGAAATAGCATCCCTTGGTCCTGGTTTCAGTGGTCCTCTAGCAAGTTCTAGGACAGGTGGTCGCCTTATCTGAGTGGTCACCTTGACAGGTTTTACTGTAGTTCTAACCCAGCATGGAGGTATGTCCCCGGCTCCAGTCTTTTACCTATCTTTGTGTAATGTTAACCATTGCTGAGATATGACCTCGTATATCAGTGCACACCCTTCTCACCTATTTCAGTACATGCTTCTACGCGAGTGGTGGCTTTCTTCATGACTTGGGCGTGTGTGTGTGTGTGTTTGTGTGTGTGTGTGTGTGTGTTTGTGTGTGTGTGTGTGGGTGGGTGTGGGTGTTTGTGTGTTTGTGCGTGTGTGGGTGTGTGTGTTTGTGTCAGCTAGTTCGGCTGGTAGGTACACTTATGCCTGATTGTGTTGGGTCTGTTGCCAACAGGCTCGGCTGCTTGAAGGTGTAATGTTGTACCTGCCACCTTTGTTGGTTCCAGGGTTCATACCTTTGTTGGTTCCAGGGTTCATATACTTTCTATTTGAAGTATACATACCTGTTAACCATGGACTGCTTCTGGCTAGATTAACTCTTGTGTAATCAATGGTGCTAGTGAAGCTTTTATCAGATCCACTCTGATTTAGCCCCTCACACTAGTAGCAAGTATTACCTTCACTGGGGGCAGGGGTAACTGCAGTTGGATCCCGGGACGGATACCCTGATGCCGTCAATCCTTTTTCTGCACCTTATCCTCACCCACTTACTGAGGTGTGGTGAGCCCATAAGTGGGATCATTTTCAAGTCCACCCAGAGTTTTGGGTATTTCAGGGGGTGTCGGCCGTTGGGCGGTTCAATAACCAATTGAGTCATCTTTCCAAGATTCCTTTTGAGTCTCTCTCCCCTCTCCTGGGCAGACCCACGTGACCAGTTTTGTCAGTGAGCAACAAGTACAGTACAAGTGCAATGTGTGTGTGTGTGTGTGTGTGTGTGTGTGTGTGTGTGTGTGTGTGTGTGTGTGTGTGTGTGTGTGTCCCATATGGTGCAGTGGTATGTGCAGCGATTTCCAATCGATAGGTTGCGGGTTCGATTCCCGACGATTATGGTCACACACGTCTTTCTTCTCTTTCTCCTTCTCCTAGCTCTTCTTTCATTCTCCCGGGTGGTTACCAACAGCCAGTGTATGCTGGAGTATGTGGCGTGGCGTATGTGTGTGTAAAAAAAATTAAAATTAGGGATTCACTGGCCAGAAAAAGCCACTTCAATCAGCTGTGTGGTGGATACCAGGCTAGAAAATAGTGGCGGTCAATTCATCAGCCTTGCAAGCTGTTGAATGGTGTAATCCCAGCACAAGTTGCTATGTCTAACAAAGCTGTTCGCTATCATCGCTTCCGCGATGGGCATGTCTGAGGTCTGATGTGTGTGTGTGTGTGTACATGTGTTGCTGCGTTTCTCCCTCCACAGCTGCTGGATAAGTGACTTCAATGTCTTCTACGGAGCGTTCATCGCACCAATGGCACTGACATTGCTCTACAACATTGCTATACTCACCATTATCATACGATCGCTGCACAAACGTGGCAAGAACACTGCGTCGCTGAAGCGCAAGGGCAAGAAAGACAACAAGGGAGCGCTGTACCTTGTGCGTGTTGTAGTGACGCTCTCGTTACTACTGGGACTAACCTGGGTGTTTGGCATACTGGTGGTTCTTGTCGATCATATCGCCATGCAATACGCCTTCGCCATTCTCAACACATTCCAGGTATGTCACAAAGCAATGTTGCTACCTAGTGTTGTTCATTGTGATGGCATTCCCCAAACTGTCTTTGTGTACTGAAGGTATGTCACTAAGGGCGCGTTCAGACTGGCGTAAAAAACAAGCGGAATGTGAAAGTTGTCAAGGTGAATCGCTCACGTGACGTTCCCGCCAGCGTAAACACGGAAAAGGTTTCCCACCACTCTGCAGGCCAGTGGAATGCAGATTCCGGCGGCACGCGGAGCACTTTTGATATCCTTGCAGCACATGTTCCGTCTTTTCGTTTTATTTCAGCCTCTACTCTTGCAGTCTGACTGCATGCTTTTGAGTTTTGACTTCTAGACTGCCAACTAATTACTTCTCCCATCATGCCGAAATCTTTGTTCGACTCAGCAATGGAGAGGGAGTTCATGGAGCTGTACGTGGTGATTTTTGCAGGCCGCTCTGCAGGCAAAACGTTACTGCGAACGAGAAGCATACTCTGATCTCGGAGCGGATGAATGCCACCCAAGCACCAAACACTCCGGACATAGTATTCTTTCCGTCGACAAGCACAAGCAAAAGCACAATGATCCAGCATCTCAACAGACTGAATTAGTTTATTTTGATATCCAACTCAAACTGAGTCAACTCAAATTTTTCAAATGTCGAAGCTTCACATAATGTACTGGGCATTCCAGCGGGATACACGTGCAGTGTGATTGCGATTCCCGGGATTACGCTGCAGCTTTCCGGCGGCTATTCACGCCTGTCTGAACGCGCCCTAAGCAGTTTTGCAGCCTAGTGTTGTTCATTGTGATGGCATTCCCCAAACTGTCTTCTACTAGTAGAGCTACCCCGTGTTGTTCATTGTGATGGCATTCCCCAAACTGTCTTTTACTAGTAGAGCTGCCCCGTGTTGTTCATTGGGATGGCCAAACTGTCTTCTACTAGTAGAGCTGCCACGTGTTGTTCATTGTGATGGCATTCCCCAGACTGTCTTCTACTAGTAGAGCTACCCCGTGTTGTTCATTGTGATGGCATTCCCCAAACTGTGACGTCCATGGAGAAGAGTATCAGATCTCAGCACGGTGCTCTCACTGCAACGAGTTGTAGCTTGGCGGTGTCAGGTTTGTTTAGGGTGGTGTCGTGCGGTGCTGATGTCTCCTCCCTTCTGTATGTACGTACATGTATGTACACGTTTTTAGTTTGACAGCATATTACACTACAAGGCGGTGGAACACCGTGTTCGGAAACAGGTCGCCTTGTAATATGCTGTCAAACTAAATACGTGTTTCTACAATGCAACAATATTATTTTACTCCCTGATGAAGCCCCAAGGGGCGAAAATTTGGAGATTTCATTTCTTTTGAATAGAATTTGCAGCGTCAACGACCTTGGTGTGGTGGTGGTGAGTGATCATGATATGAATTGGCTGCAGTGGAGCCTCCGTGTTCTAAAAAACGTTCTACAATACAAGGGTTT